TGTTCTTTCCTCCTTGGATCTCCTTCAAGAACTCCATTACCGTACTTGTCAAGATTAAACCAGCGAGAATGAACCGGACGGTGGTCTAACCGCTTCTCGAACACGTTCATCGGCAAGCTGATCTTACCAATCACTTCATCTTTCGAGGTGTGAACACGGTCTTCCACCGAGATCACTAGCTGCTCTTCAAACGGCTCAGCAACCACAAAGACAAGATCTTCGTTCCAACGCGGATTTGTTGTCTTGACAGGACAGATCTTTGTCTTGAGGATCTGCATTCCCACATTGGCTTTGACGAAAACATCAGGAAGCCGGTTTCTGTCACTCGGGATCATGTCTTGAGCTTCTATAACATTGACTCTTAAGTACCATAGCTTAGGAGATACGTATACCTTTGATCTGATGTTGAACACTCCTTCTCCATGAACAGAAGCAGAGTCTGCATGCCATGCTTCAGGAAAAGCTTCATCGGCTTGAGTTCCCATCCATACAGCAAGCATTATCTCTCCTCGTACTGCTTTGCCTTCTCCTCTCCAATCCTCTAATCGATACCACTGAGGAGCTAAAGGACTGTTTGGTGGAACCCTAGTTGGGATCTCGTTAAGATCAAACACAACCTTTCCAAGAAAATCATCTCGGCCTAGCGTTTCTTTGTCCTTCACAAAGACTTCAAGAACAGATGATTGGATCCTTTCTTTGGTAAATGCGAAGACTTGGTTCCATTCGGGAAGAGTTGTCTTTCTATCAAAGTGTTTCGTTCTTCCTTTGTAGTTCCCTAGCTTGACCTCCACGTAAGGATCACATCCACCAGTGATTAAACCTGGTGGAAGATCTTTAGCTTTAACAACTCGAACATAGAGATAATACATCTGCTCCACAAGATCGTATGTGCCAGTGAATCTCTCTCCAACGTTTGTGTTTGGCCATCTTTCTCCAAGCTCGAGGTTCATGTCTTCCACCTTAAAGTCCTCTGGGTCAGTGTCACCATATGATTCCAGGTGGTTAGTGTTGTGAGGGGGAAGCTGGTTAGGTCCACGAGGCTGCTGAGGGTGAAGCTGGTTGGCTCCACGAGACTGCGGTTGGTTGGCTTCTTGAGGGTTTTCACGAGACCGCAGGCGAATGGAATGCATTGGTGCAGGCCGAGCAAAGACTTCTTGTCTATGAAGTTTTTGAACTGGTTCAGTATCTTCTTCTTTCCTTTTGTCTTCCACACACTCGCTGGCGGAATCAGTAAGATCTTCTTGCTGTGCTGATGCAAAACTCTCTCGAGAATCTTCTGTTTCCGAATCAGCAATATCTTCTTGAGTTCTTGAAAAAGGAACAAGAGAGGCTTGTGTTTGGCTGGTGTACGGTTCAAGAGGAGAAGGAAGAGGAAAGGTTTGGTCTTTTTCGGATAATGAAATGTAGAATTCGAGGCCAATCTCACCTTTAACAGAAGAGAGAAGCGATTTCTTCTCCAACGTGAAGCGCTGGTACACTTGGTCTCTTTCGTAAACAATGTTAGAGAAAAATATCTTGACTCTGCCGAGGAAACTTCTACCGGGAACTGGTCTTCTTTGGTGGTAAACAGTGACTTCAATGTGTTGGTTGTGATGGTTTACTCTGTGGTCGTAATCGAAGTAGAGTTTCTGGTTCCAAACAGGGTTAAGGCTTTTGGGTACGGTTCTGGTTCTGCTCAACTGGTTAAGGAAATCAACTTCTACAAAGGGACTAGCTGATCCTTGGCCATCTCTGGGTAAAAGGTTTTGAGCATCAACGACATGTACGACCAGTTTGGTGGTGTTTCTCATGGTGGGTTTCTTGGTGTCTTGGTGTCCAAGGGAGATTTTAAAAGGGAAAGAATCTAAAGGAGGGAAACCCAATTTGGGAGGAAAGGAATTTATTCTGATTAAAACTATCACGAAAGAAGCTTGTTTGTTTGTTTGTTGAAGTAAAGAATGGGATTATGAAGAAGCTGCTATTTTATAATCTCTCATTGAGCTACAAGCTTGAGGAAAATGAGTTTGGAGGAAAAGTATCAAGCTTTTTCAAGTTTAAAGTCTTTTTGGGCCTCTGCAAATGATTACACGTCGTGCAAATTCAGATATTGATTGATGACTTGTTTCATTTCTACGTTCCTAACACCGACTAGTGGCAAATTAACTTTGGCTGATTCATGAGACTTTGCTTACCACACAGAAAATTGGATTTGTTCTAACAGTAAACATCACAACCAAGACCACAATAAATTATCAACACAAACCATACCTGAATTTACAAAAAAGAAATGGCTCTGTTTTTGTTTCTATGCAAACTTCTCAAAGCAGACAATCCTTTTCATCTCGAAAAGTCATCTAAATTGTCATAAAAATATGAATTTACTAGAATGGTAAAATTATTCATGGAAAGGAAAATAACAAAGTGGTGCGTACTCGCTTCAAACAGTCAAACATGACAAGTCCTAAGCAATTTCCCATTCTTCCTCCTGCAATGCTATGTCCTCGTTGCGCTGCGCTTTTTTTGAGAACCGACAACAATAAAGCAACTGTTGTTTGCTTAAAAAATGTCGTCTGTAGTGTTCCATCCAATGAGATTTACGTTTCTGCTTTGGTATGGCAACAGCGTTAGTGAGGCAAAAGCAAGCTCATATACAGTTGAATGGATGAGCTTGCTTTTGCCTCACTAACGCTGTTGCCATACCATTCAACTGTATATGAGCTTGCTTTATGCCAGAAGCTCAGGCTGGTTAAAAGTCAGATGCAGAATGTGATCTTTAACTCTCACACTTTCTCTGCAGTGTCTTGATTTGATTCCACCGTATCAAAAAGTTGCAGCCGACTCACTCCTAAAACAACCGTTTATGTTCTATCCAACTACAGGACAATCAGAGTCGTAATCGGATATCAGATAATTGTTTGACTCTTCTTCATCTTCTTCTGACCAATCCGGATAAACAATCTTGCTACTCTTCTTCCCCAAATCAGCGTCGTCAATAGTTTTCTGATACAGTCCCCTACTTCTATCAAGAAACCCTTCATTCATCATGCCTGCAAATTTCTCCCTGATTTCAACGAGAGGGTGCTTCTCAACGAGATGCCTCCTATCATATGCTTCTCTAAGGATCACCGTCTGTGTATCACACTTCATAGAAATGTAGAAAATCCCCGGATGTCTCTCAAACACTTTGGTGAACTTCTGAGGAAGCGCAAACGGTTTACGAAGATTGCTCACGTTCTTCCTCTCCATCTTTTTCCCAACTGTTAGATGAAGAAGCTCATGAAACACTCCAACATTTCTCTTCTCTGACAAATCTGTTCTTGGATCCAAATGAGACGCATCGACATAAGGCGACGTGTAAGGAAGTCTCTGCCATTCTTGAAGCCACTCCATGCTCTTCCTCTTCAGCCCAAACCCTCTCGTAAACTTAACCGGAAACGCCATATGATCATCACTTCTCGAGTCTTCTTTAAGTTGCATTTGGGAAACAGCGAGTCTTTCATCCCAATGTATCAACTTCAAACCAACAAGATCGCTTGGTAACTTCACCAAACAGAACAAATCCGGATGATCAGGAATCAACGAACGTTGATAATCATATGGCAGACCTAAATCCCATCTGAGATGATCAATGGAATGTAAAGGAAGTGTTCTTTCAACAGTAAGCATAAGAAGTTTACATAACCTCACAAGAACGTCCTCTTTGTTCACCACTAGAACATTAGCTTCTTCACGGTGAAGATCTAAAGCCTCAGGTGTTAAACCGAAACAAGGAACACGAGTACCTGCGCTATCACGATAAAGATGCTCCACAAAGATGTTTGGGTATCTCCTGATAAAAGCAGGAAGCTTTAGATCTTGAGGCAGACCGAGCTGACGGCGGTGAGGATTTAGGTGGTAGATTGGTGATTTCGAATCAGGAGAAGACGAGATGACAGAAACAAGATTGCAAACTGCTTTGAGATGCTTTTCACGAGCCACAACAGCATCGAGTTCTCTATCTTTTACCCATTTCAACTTCACGTTAACTAAACCACATTTCTGCTGAAAATCAAACCCTTTGCTGCATTCACACAAAGTGGTAGAGAAACTAACCCTTCCTCGCAGCAACCACCGCATTGTTCTATGCCTATATTGAGAGAAAATCTAATATCGATGCTCCATGAGATTATGATCAACAACCTGCGTAAAATAGCACAGCCTCTGAGAAATCCAAGCATAGGTTTTTTTTCATAATTCAGAGCTAAATTGGTCACAAGTTTTCATCTTTCGTTAATGACACAGCAGTTTTTGGGTATGGAAGTAAGATGAAACTGAAATTAGGCGATTGAGAAGAATACAGACTATGAAGTTTGAAGAGCAGAGTGAAATACCTGCAATCACGAGTTTGGTTGGCATGGGCAAAGGAGCAGACTTTAATTTACAATTTTCGCCGTGATTTCTCGGTCAGACGAACACAGTGGAGCGCAACGACGGCAAGTTACAGTGACGACGACTGACGACGGCAACTAGTTCTGATTTGTTTTTAGTTATTTTGTTTAATGGGCCGGTGGACCCATTAAAGGGTAGTATGGGCGGGTGGGTCGGGTCAGGTTTAGCGGGTTACAGTAAGGAAATGGTCAAACCCGGTATTGTGTGGCGAACAACAGAAATTGCGTCTTCTACACAGTTCTGTGAAGCATCTCATCAAAACAGGGTTTAGCTAGGGTTTTAAGTTGGCTGCTCAACTTGATGCCCTCGACTCTAATTATCCCCACTCACTAAACCTCTCAAACAGAATTTGAGCAGGAAGCTTAACATCGAAGCTTCGAAAGCCTCGAGAAAATGATCCCTACCAATGGCGCAAAGGTTCTTCGATTGTTGACTCGTCGATGCCTATCGTCAACATTTGTACAAGATTTGGCTAATCAGGTTGGTACTTCTCGCTCATTCGCTCTCTCTCTTTCTCTCGATCTCGTTTGCTCAATTTTAATTGGTGTCTGTGGGAGTATGCAGAAACTCAGGGGAATAGCTATTGGGAGTTATAGGAGATTGAATACGGGCACTGGCAATCCTGCCAAAGTTCTTGGAGATTACGCTTCAAAATCTGGTAAATGATCTGCAATCGCTATACGAAAATGCAATCTATGAATGGTTTTTCTCTGTTCTGAGTCAAATTGAGTATTGCATTAGGATTAACACTATGTTCTTCTAATGTAGGGCATGATCGGAAATGGATCAACTTTGGAGGCTTTAATACTAATTTTGGTTCAACAAGATCTATTCATGGAACAGGTAGAATCTTAGCTCCCTTAATTCTGGCAGTTGTAGTTAGATTCTCTTATACCTGAAATCTCGTAACAAGTGATCTCTTGCGTTTTTGGATACTAGGTTCTTCATCCATGTCCGCTAAGGACTACTATGAAACTCTTGGAGTAAGCAAGAATGCTCCAGAAGGTGAAATCAAGAAGGCTTATTATGGCGTAAGGAATATATGGCTGAGTTCTTGCATCTTTTAGTTGTTCCTGCCTTCGTTCTTTTGATACGACTGCTAGTTTATCATTGATTGATGTTATTGTTTGGATATTTTTTCCAGCTTGCTAAGAAACTCCATCCTGATATGAATAAAGATGACCCAGAAGCTGAGAAGAAGTTCCAGGAAGTCTCTAAAGCATATGAAGTGAGTTTGACATCATTGAATAAATCGTTTGGTATGATCTGTTAGAATATATACTGAACGGAGTTGTGATTTTGGTTTGGTCTTTTGTTGGGATCAGATTTTGAAAGATAAGGAGAAGCGTGACCTTTATGACCAGGTACATATGCCTCATAATTAGTAAGGTGGCATGTTTTAGCATTGCTCCCTCGATTATCTTTTACAGTTGTGATCTAAGTTTGTTGCCCCATGTCTGCAGGTTGGGCATGAGGCGTTTGAGCAAAATGCTAGTGGTGGATTTCCAAATGATGGAGGCCAAGGCTTCGGCGAAGGATTTAACCCGTTTGATATCTTTGGGAAATTTAATGACGATGTATGACATATTATTACCTTTCGTTCTTTGTTGTCATTTTTCCTTTCCAATGGAAATGACTAACTGATCAAAATTAATGGTTTACACGCTTATTCTTTCAAAAACCAGGTCTTCAACGGCATGTTCCGGCAAGATATCGGAGGTCAAGATGTCAAGGTATTACATTCTGCTTATTTTCCCAGGGATCATTTTTGTGCTCCAAGGTTAATAGGTTTCTCTTTTCTTTCTCTCTTTATTGTTGTAAGGTTTTGCTTGATCTTTCTTTCATGGAAGCTGTTCAAGGATGCTCCAAAACTGTGACGTTTCAAACCGACATGGCTTGTAATACCTGTGGTATGTATATAGTTTTAATTACAAAGTGCTTTATATGTTGTTATTGTCTCACTGTCAAGATGCTTATTGTTGTTATCTTTCTTCCTCTAACATTCAGGTGGACAAGGTGTTCCTCCTGGTACCAAACGTGAAAAATGCAAAGCCTGTAATGGCTCTGGGATGGTCAGTCTCGTGTTACAGAACTCTAGTTTGAACACTGTAATATGATATTTGTTATTATTATGGTTTTTAAGTGCTACAGCTACGTTTTTCAGACAACAATGAGAAGGGGTATATTAAGCATCCAAAGAACTTGCCAGAAGTGTGGTGGAGCTGGTCAAACATTCTCAGTATGTCACTTATTTGATTGTTGCACTTTTTGTATCATATGCATAGTGTTTATCTGTGTATGTATGTCTACATATACGTGAAGACAGACACCACGTTCTTTTAATATCATCCTAAATGCTTGGTCGTGAATTAGACTCCTATAAATATTGGATCGCTCATCAATTTTCTTGTGTTTGTATTACAGAGTATTTGCAAATCCTGTAGAGGGGCTAGAGTTGTTCGAGGACAGAAGTCGGTGAAAATCAATATTGATCCAGGTAATTTTGTTTTTGCATATCCATAGTTAATTGATAAAAAAGAATTGTGTCGTCTTTATCCATTCAATCTCTTTACTTGTTCACATTTGTTTCATCTTTCAGGGGTTGACAATAGCGATACATTAAAGGTGGCAAGGGCAGGCGGGGCTGATCCTGAAGGTGACCAACCTGGAGATCTTTATGTTGCTATCAAGGTAACTTTACTGAAGTCAACTTTCTAGTAGACAGTAATAGGTAATCATTAATTGCATTCTCAATATCTTGGCTGTATTTCTTTCCAGGTTCGTGAAGATCCTGTGTTCCGCAGAGATGGATCAGATATTCATGTGGATTCGGTTCTCAGTGTTACCCAGGTGAAATATCATGCTCTTGTCTATTCTGTCTCTTAAAGTTCATAGGTCCTTTTGCCGTCAGCATTTGTTTTGGACTTATAGTGCAGTATCCTTGAGCTCTTTTACAATGTTTGTATTGTTCATGATAACTGAGCATATTCTTCATCTTCTGCCAGGCCATTCTTGGAGGAACCATTCAAGTTCCAACACTCACCGGTGATGTTGTAGTGAAGGTTTCTGAAAACTTTTCACATTTTTACATTATTTTAAGATTTTAATCCAGCTTATCAAACGGCCAAGATTGTTAGCCGGCTAAGTGAACGATTTCTACGTCGGGAAACAGCATTTACTTTTTTGGAACTTCTCCAGCAATCTAACTTGGAAACTCTTTCGTTGCAGGTCCGTCCTGGAACCCAACCTGGTCAGAAAGTAGTGCTAAGAAATAAAGGTAAGCTGTTTTACTTGTGTCGATAACTTCAGTTGTAGAATACCTGAAAGATGACAGAAACGTTTAAGTATTGAAATTTTAAATTGAGATAAGTAGTGAGAGCAAAATAGGAAAAGAAAAAAAAAAGTTCCTCTTGTTCATAAGTAAGCTGAGGACAGACTGAGTAAAACCAGACCAAGTGTAAAGTAGATTCTTGTTCGTTTGCTTTTGAACTCACATGGTTTTGTTTACGATACAAACAGGGATTAGAGCAAGAAAGTCGACTAAATTCGGGGATCAATATGTGCATTTCAACGTCAGCATCCCTGCGTAAGTCCCATAATGCCTCCCAAGTAAATAGTGTCTGGAATTGACTTAACACTCAAGTGCCATATCGTCGCAATATCTTATGTTTCGTTTATGTTATCTTGGCAGAAATATAACGCAGAGACAGCGTGAACTGCTTGAGGAATTCATTAAAGAAGAACAAGGTGAATGCGAGCGGCGCACGGCTTCTGGTTCTTCCTAGTGAAAATCTACAAACGACGCTACAGCTGAAGAAAAGAAGCTACTTTTATGGCAGCATAAAAAAAGCATGGAACATCCTTCTTAAATGGATAAAATCAATCGGACATGGTTGAGATTATATTGCGTAGGATTAGTGAGAGTATTGTTTTGGTTTTACTTTTATCTAATTTCTACAATTCTAGAAGAAAAAAGAAGAAGAAACATGTACTGTGTTATTGGCAGTCTACTTTTGTTTCTCAAAGTTTCAGGTTTATAGATACCATTCCTCTTTTTTTTGTTTACCATTCATCTTATTTGATTCTCATCGATCCCTTTTCCTACTTCTGAATTCTGAATCTCTGATGAAGTTAAGCATCGGGGTTTTCCACGTGGACATACTTTTTTCAAACATTTTGCAGCCAACTTACTGATGTTTTGTCAGTGAAATAATGTTTTTGGTACTGACTGTTTCGGTTATCTTATAGTAAAAAATATCATGAACTGAAAAAAAAAAAAAAATGGCAGTACATATATAGTTATGAAGCATCACATCTATCTATCGAATTTGCCAGAAAAGGGAAATTTCATATTTGTTATAGAACGATTTCAATATTACTTTCTAGAAGTAACAAAGTTTAATTCCTGAACCATTATCTCTGGATACGATGAATATGGAAGGAGCGAATCTTTTCTCATCTCCCGCCATATCACACACCAACAGGCAACAACAACAAAGAGAAACGGAACTAAACAAAAGAGACGCGTGCTTCTCTCTTCCTCGCTTTTCTCGGTAGTATCGTAATGGAGTTACCGGTTGTAGATCTGTCGCGCTACCTACAGCTCTCCGGTGGCGAATCGGTTTCTCATCTGGAAACGGATGTCCTCGACTCTTGCCGAGAGGTGAGTCGGATCCTGAGAGAAACCGGAGCTCTTCTGGTCAAGGATCCGAGATGCAGCGCCGAAGACAACGATCGGTTCATCGATATGATGGAGACGTTTTTCCAGATGCCCGATGATTTCAAGCGGTTGCAAGAGAGACCTAATCTTCACTATCAGGTTCCTAGATCTTCCTCCTTCCGATCGAATCGAATCGAATCTTTTATTACAAAAAAATCAGGGCTTTTTGTCTTTTGAATTGGGTTTTGCCCCGACCGTCGATAAACGAAATTAGTCTGTAATTTTTAGTACTTAGAAATGGAATTAAGACAAAGTCGGTCTTTTCCCTCATGAAATGATCTGGCCACTGTTGGTTGAAATGTTCAATCTTGTTAAAGTCTAGACAAATTTTGATTGGCTACTGTGAATTTAACAGGTTGGTGTGACGCCAGAAGGAGTTGAAGTGCCAAGAAGCTTGGTTGATGAAGTGATGCAAGAAAAGTTCAAGGCTATGCCGGAAGAATACAAACCACACACTCCTAAGGGACCAGATCACAAGTGGAGATACATGTGGAGAGTGGGTCCTCGTCCATCTAACACACGCTTTAAGGTATGGTCTTTATACGTCTCACTAGATTGCTGTTACTGTGTTACATATGTTTTATATATAAACTTACAAGTGACCATGTTTAGGAGCTGAACTCTGAGCCTGTGATACCAGAAGGTTTTCCGGAATGGAAAGAAAGAATGGACTCATGGGGTTACAAGATAATATCAGCTGTAGAGGTGAGACACTGCTTCAAAGTTTGCATCTTGATGCTTTTTCAGTTTTAACTATGATGTGGTGATTTTTATTCTTGAAATTGTCCAGGTTGTTGCTGAAATGGCAGCAATCGGGTTTGGTTTGCCCAAGGATGCATTTACATCAATCATGAAGCAGGTAACTTCAGATTTCAGTGAAAACAAAAGGAACTTTGTTATAGATGGACTGTGATTTCACGCTTATCTGTCTTGTGAATTTTCAGGGTCCTCATCTTCTTGCTCCAACGGGAAGTGATCTCAACTGTTACAACGAGGAGGGAACGATATTTGCAGGATATCATTACGACCTCAACTTTCTAACAATTCATGGAAGAAGTAGATTCCCTGGTCTATACATTTGGTTAAAGAACGGTGAAAAGGTTGCGGTTAAAGTTCCCGTAGGCTGCCTCTTGATTCAAACTGGAAAACAGGTATGGATCTGTTTACCTCATCTTGTTTACTTGATATTAAGTAGTGTAGGGGGAAGAAGACAATTAGATAATTACTTTTCTCAGCTAAAATTAGCTAAAATTTTGGTGCTCATGTGTCCAGATAGAATGGTTGACTGCTGGAGAATGCATAGCCGGAATGCATGAAGTAGTTGTCACTAGCAAGACTATAGATGCAATCAAATTAGCAAAAGAACAAAACCGGAGCTTGTGGAGAGTATCGTCAACTGTAAGTCTTAACCAGTTTCCATAAAAGGTTCCTAACAAACTTAACCCTTTGGTTTAACTGAAAGAGTTGTTTTTTTTGCCTTTCTTGCAGTTGTTTGCCCACATTGCCTCTGATGCGGAGCTGAAACCTTTGGGGCATTTCGCGGAATCACCACTGGCGAGTAACTATCCGGCGATACCCGCAGGAGAGTATGTTGAACAAGAGCTCTCTGTCATCAATCTAAAAGGAAAGCAGGGATTTTCATAGCTTTGTTGCTCAGCCACGAAACAGTTGCATTCATGAGTCCCACAAATCTTTCTCTACTTACTTCTGATTCTGAATGTTTGAAACCTCTGCTTCTGTTAAAGCAGCTGATCTTGATAACTCAGAAGTCAGTTGAATTTGGGATTTGTACTTGTTTAACCTTTCAAATATTTATATCTATTGCGGTTTTTATGTGATGGCTATGCTATGCATGTGCCTCATGAGCTAAACAGTTAAAACACAGCTCAAAACAGTATAAAACTCTTTCAACTCTATCATCAACAGTTTACATACAAAGCAGACACATTTATTTGTGCAGTCAAAAGAGATGATGGATATGAGATTACAAGAAGAAGGAAAAAACAAAAAAGAGAGAGCATTAGGAAAAAATGACTCTATGATGTTACACAACAACCTTTTCCTTTAGTTTCAGTCTCTTCTCCAGGAACAACAATCTTAGTTCCTTGCAGGAGTGAAGAGTCACCTCCAGACTCACCTTCCTCATTGGCAACGAGATTCTTTTTGCTCACTATCCGGTAGATTTCAGTAAGAACAGTGAGAAAAGATGGCTCGACGTTGATCGAATCCAGTGCTGATGTCTCCATGAAGAAGAGGTTTTCTCTTTGAGCAAACTCTTTGGCATCCTCGGTTGGCACAGCTCGAAGCGTGCCGAGATCAGTCTTGTTACCTATGAGCATAATCACAATGTTTTTGTCCGCGTGTCCTCTCAATTCTTCTAACCACCTCGCGACATGATCAAACGACTGTCGTTTTGTTATGTCGTAAACAAGCATTGCCCCTAGTGCTCCTCTGTAATATGCACTCGTCACAGCTCGATACCTACAAAAATATATCAGACTTGGTGGAAAATATTGATCTCATTTATCTGATATACCACTCGATGACTATATAAATTCAAAATATGCAGAGCATATATAGGACAGATCATACACATTTAAGCAAAGCAAACGATATACAATAAAAGGTTTTTTTGGTTTTTGTTTTTCAAGAACTCGCTAAATCACGCTAAATCACCCAATCAAGATTTCAGAAATGTTAAAATCCAAAGACTCTGCAAAAATTTCCAACAAGGATCTACGATTCTTTTCAGATTTCAGTTAGGACGCATATATTGAATATCATATTTGTTTAGTAACAAAAAAGGAAATAATAATATACCGTTCTTGACCAGCGGTGTCCCATATCTGAGCTTTGACAGTTTTTCTATCGATGGTAAGTGTTCTCGTCTGAAACTCGACACCGATCGTAGCTTTCGATTCGATGCTGAACTCGTTTCTGGAGAACCTAGCGAGAAGCTGAGATTTGCCAACGGCAGAGTCGCCGATCAAGACTACCTTGAAAACATAATCGATCTTCTGATTGAAATTGTTCTGAAGGTTTGACATCCTTCAAAGAGCTTAGAGAGCTCGAGGAAGAGGCAGACGAAGAAAAGATTAGCGCGAGATCTGGAGAAGCAGTTGGGTCAAAGCACGTAGAGAGAATGACCGAGAAAGGAATTGACCGATTATAAGGAGGAAGAAGAAGAAGAAGAAAGTGGGTTGCGAGCATTGGTAGACGTGAAGGGAAGAAACGAGGAGGGAAAGAAATCAAAGTGGGTCCCGCCTTGTTGCTTTTTTCTTTATTTTAAATTACTTTATATGTTTATCACGGAGTTTAACCGGCTAATAACTCCTACAAAAATTCATTTTGATTTGGGTTATTAATTTAGATGCCTACAAATATGCCTACCGATATGATTATTCATTTATAAATCACACTGTAGCATCACTTATATAGTTATATATAGACTTTGTAATTTACAGTTGAAAAATTTGGGATTATCCTTGACTTTTACGTAATACGTTTGTGCAAACATAATATTCAACCAAAGTTCAAATTATGCTACTAAAAATGCACCTAATATATCTTCGTAATTAGTTTATTACATAGTTAATCATAGCATTACCGAATTCTTCTCACATAAGTGGAAAATCCATAAACAAACTCATCTAAATTCACGATAAAATAAAGAGATCTAACGGTGAAATTGTTCCAACTCTTAGCCAATTTTCTCCGACTTCTCGCTTCCTATGTTGTCACTGCTTCCTTGGGCTGATTGTTGCTGAACTCTTCAGGCAGGAGCTTTTTGCAAGTTGCAGACCCAAGAGAGCGATCGGAGGAGAAACTGGAAGATATGCAATTCCCAAGATCCCGTAAAGATGTATAAGAGTGAGAATCAGTGATAAGAAACCACAAACCATGGGCAACTCTTCGTAGATCCGATCCGCGGTACCAACGCCGTTGTGATAGGCACGGACGAGGAGGGAGAAGAAATAAGCAGATGCCATCTGGCAAGCCAATAGCCCCATCACCCAGTGGAAACTTACCTCCGACATCTTCTAGGTATTCAAATCGGCCACCGAGAAAGTACTCCGACTTGGCGCGACAAACATCAGGAGAGAATACAGACTCGCAGCCATGAGAACATGATATTTCGGCGCAAGTTTCCTGAATACAGCTTCCTCCCTTTCGTAACTGAATCCCATCATCGTCTTAGCGGAGAAAGGGGGGAAAAGGAGAATTTGTGAGAATAGGGAAGAAGAAGATCTGTAGAGACGGAAAAACTAATCGGGTGCTTTCTATTATATCAAAAGGAGAGAGATCGTAGCCGTCAATTATCGATAAAGACATTGCAGCCGTTGATGACTTCTTTTCTTTTCGGCCATCTAGGTCTGGGCCGGATCCGTGAATTTGCTATTAAACCGAATTTGAACCAATTACAGTAAAAAAACCCATAACCAAACGAAATTTCCCAATTCGATTATTGTTCACCTCAACGTGTTTTAATGAGCTTACAAAAATGGATTCAACCAATCAAAACAATTATTAAAAAATCAATAGTTAATCAAAAAAATTGAAGTTATTGATCCCTGCACATTCTTTTTTGGTCCGTCTCCCCATCCGGTTTAACAAAATTGATTACAACAGACCTAAAGAACCGGGATAGAACCATCGCGACGACGACGACCGCTTAAAAATTCAATTACCCTCTGTCGTGTGCTCTTTACCTCCGCTCGTCTTGCTGTTCCCATCCACGGTCGCCGTATCCGTCGTCTCTACCACCGTGAGTCCTCTTTCGATGCTTAGAAGCTAGTCCTATTCTCCTCTGTTTCTCTTCTTTAGATACTCCTCGACTCCATCACTCGACCCAGCCGACACCAAAGACAATCCGGTTAGAGATACCTCTATATCTGTGCTTGATTCATGGTGGATTCTCCACAATTCGATATTCTTGTGTGCTCAGTGTTGTGCTTGGCGTTTCGTGTTACTAATAGAATTCGAAAACTTAGATTCAGAATCTGCTTTATTTAGGTCTGAAATTGATATTTTCTATTTTACTATATGCTTGTTTGACCAGTGTTTGCTATGGTGAAATATATTTTGACATCTTGGAGATAAGATTAGGTAGCTTATTAAAGGTCATATATGAGTGAGAGATTAAAGGAAACTTGTTGTTTCAGAATATTGGTCTTCTACTGCTAACGTTTACATTCTTTGTGTAAATATTAGGTGGTACGAAGCCATGACAGTTTCAGACGTTTATCGTCCTCCTCTATTCAGTATTGCGCCGATGATGGGATGGACAGACAATCACTACAGAACACTAGCACGTCTTATATCAAAACACGCGTGGCTATACACGGAAATGTTAGCAGCTGAAACCATTGTGTATCAAGAAGAAAACCTGGTAATGACTGGCTAAGGGTTTCTTTTGCTTAACCTCTAGAGATGGAGATACTTGTTGACGTTAGCAAAAATTAATCTATATGTTTATTCTTGTACTGCTCAGGATAACTTTTTGGCATTCTCTCCTGACCAGCATCCGATCGTTCTTCAAATTGGTGGAAGAAACCTGGAAAATTTGGCGAAAGCAACCAGGCTTGCTAATGCTTACAGCTATGATGAAATTAATTTCAAGTATGAGCTTCTGTTTCTAAGTTTCCTTTCTATAGATTAATTTGGTGCCATTTCCATCCAACTACTCTTATGTATATGCTGGTTTATTCTGTAGCTGTGGATGTCCAAGCCCAAAAGTAAGTGGACGAGGTTGTTTTGGTGCTGTACATATGCTGAACCCAAAGTTTGTTGGTGAGGCTATGTCTGTCATTGCTGCCAATACCAATGCAGCCGTCACTGTCAAATGTCGAATAGGTGTTGATGATCACGATTCATATAATGAGCTTTGTAAGTTTTTCCTTACATTTCTTGTGTTCATTTTCAAACAATGGCAAATAACAAGTTTTGGAAGAGTTCATTTATGGCATATCTGATTAGACTTCCTTTGCCATTTCAATTCTTTATATGTATTCAGGTGATTTCATTCATATCGTTTCTTCATCATCTCCTACTAAGCATTTCATCATACATTCACGAAAGGCGCTATTGAATGGACTTAGCCCGGCAGATAACCGTCGAATTCCTCCCTTAAAGTGCGTGCTGACTTATGTTTCTTTAATGGTCGTCTGTTTGAAAGATAAATTGCTCTTAACACTGTTTCTGCTTCTCAAATGTAGATACGAGTATTTCTTTGCCCTTTTGCGTGATTTCCCGGACTTGAAGTTCACAATAAATGGAGGCATAAACTCTGTGGTTGAGGTGAGCTTTCTAAAAAACGGATCTCTAGTTTGACTCCAAAGTGGAAACTTGTGTGTATAAAGCCAAATTCATACTTCTTCCATTGACCTGTAGGCAGAGGCGGCAATAAGGTCTGGAGCTCATGGCGTTATGATTGGACGTGCTGCATATTACAAGTATGTGAAAGCCTTTTCCTGTATATTTTCTTACATTCCTGTAAAACATCATATGAGGATTTGGTTCTGCTTTTCTCCTTTTGACTGTTTTATGGAATTCTATGCTGATGTAATAGTCCCTGGCACATTTTGGGACACGTAGATACTTTAATATATGGATCTCCAAGCAGTGGGATTACAAGGCGACAGGTAGATTTACGTTCTGAAATAGATTCTTCCACGATTTTGGTTGATATCTGATTTAAAATGTGTTTTGTTGTCCCGAAATGATCTTTAGGTTCTTGAAAAATATCAAGTCTATGGGGAATCGGTTCTCGAGAAATATTGTAAAGGCCGACCAAATCTTCGTGATATAGTGAGGGTAATGGTATTTCCAAGGCTCTATTTTATCAAGTTTATTATCTGGTGACACAAGCCTAAACAGAAGCAAAAAATATTTTTTTGTAGCCATTGATCAATCTGTTCCACTCGGAGCTTGGAAATGGCCAGTGGAAACGTAGAACCGATGCTGCTCTCTTGCATTGCACCGTTAGTCAATTCTTTGACACTCTTCTTTGTTACTTGCTACCAAAAACTTGTCACCTTGTTAACTCACCTCTTCTCTTATGTTGCAGACAATGAAATCGTTCTTGGACGAAGTGTTACCGGCAATACCAGACTTTGTCCTCGATTCATCTGTTGTGAAAGAAGCGACTGGGCGTGAAGATCTCTTTGCAGATGTACGACGTTTGTTGCCACCTCCTTACGAAAAAGAATCACAGAAGCTTGAAAAGTCTGACAAAGAGACATGTAATTCTTGATGAGGAATGACAAATCTCTCTATTTTTTTACCTCAAAATGAACCTTTTATTTGATTACATCGTCATATACAGCTGCTTAGTGTATCGGCCACATTCTAGGAAAAATGTACTAATGGAAACATCAAAGTTGCGAGTATAAAGATTTGACTTTGTCCAGCTTTAAGTATGTCATGCCATATATTTGCATTTTCAACTAAAGTCTTCTATTTTCAACCAAACTATGGCTGTGAGACGCAATGTTCTGAGATGATTACATAAACAAGATTTGAGTTTTGTGTATGATGATAAGCTCATTAGACAACATAGCATTGGGTTATAGCTTGTGCAGGATAAGATGAGCACCGAACTGTGGGTGAAGGGTGATGACTGAGTAAGGCGCATGAACATAAGAAGGAGAGAGCTCAAAGGAGAACCTCTGTAGAATCAAAGCCATTGCCATCTTAGCCTCCAACATAGCAAAGTTCTGCCAATGCAGATCCTTGGTCCCCACGCAAAGGGAAAGAAAGAGACTTGGCTCTTTGTTGCCTTTGAGAGACCGTCTTTGAACCTCTCCGGCTTGAACTCCGCTGCATCGTGCCCCATAGCTCGTGTCGCGTTGGACTAACATAATAGGTAGATTGACTGAACGCCGCTGGTAGCGTCAGGTCGCCAAGCTTCATCTCTTTGTGAATGGCTCGACTCAGCTGCGTTACTGGAGGATATAGCCTAAGGACCTCATACAATATCATCGTCATCTGCGAGGGATCCAAATCTTTCAGCAAAAATCAACACAACACAAAGTGAGGACTCAAGTCAAGCCACCTCAAGGTCGTTGTACTTACAACTTTGAGCTGGTTTAGAGGCTTCTGTATCAGGTTCTCTGTCGCCAAAAACTTGCTTCACTTCTTCTCGTGCCGAGCTTGCCAGTCTTGGTGTTGGCTTAACAGAACCATTGTCCAGACAGAAGTACTGAAGTTGTCTCTTGCCCGGCGAAATAGAACAACTTGCACTCTTCCATCACATCCTTAATGCTCATTCCATTCCCTTTAGCTTGCACCATATTCGATTCAAGAAGTATACCAAGCAAATCATCGCTCGGTGCTTCCCCAGCTTCTCTCGCCCTTAACCTTTTGTTAATGATCCCTCTCAGTAACTTGGATTTCTCTGGCTGCTGCTTTCATCCTTCTATTATCCTTCGTTGGGAGATAACTAGGAAACAAAACAAGAGTCAGTCTCTGAACGTCTTGTATATTAAACAAGACAAGTTGAGGTTTATTATCATTACCGATATCCAGGGATGAAAGATTTCCGAAACGATTGAGTGATGAGCTCTGTTAGCTCTGTTTGGAGCTCAAATATCTTTTGCCCTTCTTTGTAACTGCTTCCAAAGGCAGTACGAGAGATCACATCTGCCGTCATACTCACAGCCAAGGCCAAACGTCCACCTCACAAGACGACCCTTTAGCCGAGACTAACTTGTCCCATTCGCCAACAACCTCGCTGCAGCTTTGGTGGAAAGCAGGTACCATAATCTATACACAGAAGCACAAGTTGGGACGATAGTACATACTAATCTTAACCATGGTTCAGAGATATGGAAAAAGAAGTCAGAACCTTGATCTTCTCTAAATGGAAAGCAGGGTTTATGATTCTTCGGTGTTTCGCCCATTTGTCTCCATCATAACTAACGAGTCCAGTGGCTATGTATCTGATCAGAGGGAATGTATGTGTCTTTGGGAAATCAGAAATTTTGTTGAACACTTCCTTGATTTGCTCAGGATCCATTATAGTGATGGCTGGTATAGGTCCTAACCACGTAAAGAAGGTCCTTCCTGTTCCAACCACCAAAGAGATGCAAAATTTGAAACCTTTCGTTATCTGGTCCTCTGCTAACAGTTTTGATGTTCCCTATATCTCTTTAAGTGAACAAAGAGGAATGGAAGAGCTATATAAGCTAAACATGAAACATACCATGAGTCTTGAGCATCTGCAAGGGATAAGGCACGACACGTGGTTGGATATCATCCGTTAGTTTGATGGGTTTGGATCTTGCCTCCGTCAACATGTTGAAAATCTTCTTCAAGTCGCCGACGAGAGGCGTGTAAGGAGGTCCGGCAAGACCTTGTCTTCTCAGGTAACTCTCAAGCATCTTTGGTTTGAACCAAACCCAGTTCAACGTTCTCCATACCCACCACGACACCGCAGCTATAGCTATTGAAACTGTCAACGATGCAACTGATATCTCCATTTTGCCTCCAAGAGAGAGAGAGAGAGAGAGAGAGAGAGAGAGTTGGATAATCTTAACTTCTGCGAATGTCGAAGAAGATATTGGTGTGTTGATGACATCACCCGGATGTCTTAAATAACCCCCTTTGTATTTTGTGTGCGGCCTTGTTTGACCATTGAATTGATCTTGTTCTTTGATTGGAGCCGCAA